ATCAGAGATTATGGTAACGCGCGGCAGTGGGTTGCAGCACTGAACGTGTTCAGAGGTGTGTCGAAAGCACGTATGACAGTCAGCACGTACAACTCTGCAGTCAGCGCATGTGGGAAAGGAATTCAGTGGCAACTGTCAATGTTGATTTTCACCGAACTATGGCAGGCGAAACTCGAACACACAATTGTCAGCTACAACGCTGCAACAAGCGCATGTGAGAAGAGCGGTCGGTGGCAACAGGCGTTGACGTTGTTCCGGCAGCTATGGCACGTCAAATTGGAGCCAACAGTCGTTAGCTATGGGGCTGCGATAAGCGCATGTGAGAAAGTCGGGCAGTGGCAGCTTGCCGTGTCATTGCTCAGGGAGCAGCTTCAAGCGAGTTTGGAGTTGGACATCGTCAGTTATAGTGCTGCAGTGAGTGCATGCGACAAGGGTGAGCGGTGGCAGTTGGCGTTGTCAATGTGGAGAGAGCTCGGGGACGCAACATTGGAGCATAATGTCATCAGCTATGGTGCTGCAATCAGTGCATGTCACAAGGCTGGATGTTGGCAGCAGGCGCTGTCGCTGCTGCGGGATCTATGGCAAGTGCAGTTGGCGGCAGGAATAACCTGCTATAATGCTGCGATCAGCGCATGCGGGAAGGGCGGACACTGGCAACATGGATTGGCGTTGCTCAGGGAATCATGGCAACAGAAGCTGAAGCCGACAATAGTTAGCTACAGTGCTGCCATCAGCGCATGCGAGAAAGGCGGTCGCTGGCAGCAGGCTCTGTTGTTGCTCAGGGAGTTGCGGCGCGTCAAGTTGGAGCCCAACACCGTCACTCTCTACCCTACGCGGTGCAGAGGCGGCAGCATGGGAAGATCTAGGGTCCCAGATATTCGTCTTGACCCTCGTACACCCACTGTCCTTCACGCATCCCATCTGGCGGCGAGGTTGTGGGGGAGCCCCGAGCGGAGGTCCATACCTCTCCTCTGAGAGACGGCTCCGAAGTGTGTCCTTTCCTCCTGGTGGATGCGCGCAAGAGTCCCCCGGTGAAGATGGTGATGATGATGCTGATGATGATGATGATGATGATGATGATGATGATGATGATGATGATGATGATCTGAGTGTGTGAGCGTGTTAGTGAGAAGGGAGGGGGTGTTCCTGTTCCTGCGCGGGGTGTCCAGAGAAAACAAAAAACCCATTTTGGATGTGGGGCAAAAGTCAAACATAATCGGGTGATTTTGTGTTGTTGTTGTTGGTGGTGTTGTTGTTGTTGTTGGTGTTGCTGTTGGTGTTGTTGTTGGTGGTGGTGGTGATGTTGTTGTTGTTGGTGTTGCTGTTGGTGTTGGTGTTGTTGTTGTTGTTGTTGTTGTTGTTGTTGTTATTGCTGGTGGTGTTGTTGTTGTTGTTGTTGTTGGTGGTGTTGTTGTTGTTGTTGTTGGTGTTGTTGTTGTTGTTGTTGTTGTTGTTGTTGTTGTTGTTGTTGAACATTATGACTTCTAAAGAATAATTATTGTTGGGACCCCTGGTGCACGACCCCCCCGCCGCGCCTAGGCCGCAGCCTCATTTTCATCATTTTCGTGAGGAAGTCTCAGGCAAAACGGGGGGTCCGGATCCGGTTGTGTTGTTACGATCGGTTTTCCCTTGCAAAAAATAAGCTAAAGTGGACATTTCTTGTTCTAACATAACCAAACTTCAAGAATCCCTTGCAAAAAATAAGGTAAAGTGGACATTCGCGCGCGCAAGACGAAATCCTTCCAAAACCTTAGTTTTCGTAGCGATTTTAACATAAAAACATCAAAAACCAATGGTTTTTCAAAAAAAAAATGTCAAAATTTCATCCCGCGCGCTCTTGCGGATTCGTAGGAAACCCAACACTTTTTAAACATTTCTGTCAAACGGGCTTTTGCGAGCAACTTTTTCGAACTTCTGCAACAACGGTTGCGCACCTGCCAGGGCCATCATCCCTGTCAAATAATACCATGCGGGACACATTCGTTTTTTCTTCGCGCGCGCACGCCGTCGTCGTCGGCCGCGGGGCCCTGAATAGTAGCCACGGTCGTCCGCATGCCACGAAGTGAAGTGTCCGAACGTCATAGGGCGGGAAGCTGGGTGTGGGTGGTGGCGAAGAGTCGTTTGGAAATTTGGTAGAGCTTGAACCGGCCCCCCCACAAAGTGGGGGTATTGCCCGCCTCCTATGAAAACCCTGGCACTGGTGAGAACGGAGTGTCCCCACGTGCTAGTAATTGTTGTTGTTGTTGTTGTTGTTGTTGTTGTTGTTGTTGTTGTTGTTGTTGTTGTTGTTGTTGTTGTTGTTGAATATTATTACTTCTAAAGAAATATTATTGTTGGACCCCTGGTGCGCGACCCCCCCGCCGCGCCTAGGCCGCAGCCACATTTTCATCATTTTCGTGAGGAAGTCTCAGGCAAAACGATTGTACCGGATCCGGTTTTTTGTTGAATCGTTTTCCCTTAAAATGAAAATTCTTGTTCTTAGTTGATCAAATTGCAAGAATCCCTTGCAAAAAATAAGGTAAAGTGGACATTCGTGCGCGCAAGACGAAATCCTTCCAAAACCTTAGGTTTCGTAGCGATTTTAACATAAAAACATCAAAAACCCAATGGTTTTTTAAGAAAAAATTGTCAAAATGTCCTTCCGCGCGCGCTGTCCGAATCCCACAAAACCAATGGTTTTTCAACATTTATGTTACATGAGCTCGCGCGAGCTACTTTTTCTTGTTCTAACATAATCAAATTTCAATAATCCCTTGCAAAAAATAAGGTAAAGTGGACATTCGCGCGCGCAAGACGAAATCCTTCCAGAACCTTAGGTTTCGTAACGATTTCAACATAAAAAACATCAAAAACCCAATGGTTTTTCAAAAAAAAATGTCCAAATTTCATCCCGCGCGCGCTGTCCGACTCCCACAAAACCAATGGTTTTTCAACATTTATGTTACATAAGCTCGCGCGAGCTACTTTTTCTTGTTCTTACATAATCAAATTTCAACATCCCTTGCAAAAAAAAGTAAAGTGGACATTCGCGCGCGCAAGACCAACAAAAAACACGACGATCTCAGGAACTTGCCCCAAAAATGTGACCAACTCCGCTCTCTCTGTCTCTCTCTCTGTCTGCTCTCTGTCTCTCTCTCTGTCTGTCTGTGTCATGTATTGTATGTCACAATTGCAGGATGCTGGGCACACGCGCGCCCCGAATAAGTGACCAAGTTCTGTGGGTGTGTACCCCACGCCAGTGTAGTAGCCACGGTCGTCCGCACGCCACGAAGTGAAGTGTCCCAACGTCATAGGGCGGGAAGCTGGGTTTGGGTGGTCGCGAAGAGTCGTTTGGATATTTGGTAGAGCATGAACTGCCCCCCCACGAAGTGGGGGTATTGTCTCGCGTCGCATGAAAACCCTGGCACTGGTGAGAACACTGAGCGTTCGGGTAAAATGATTGTTTGTTGTTGTTGTTGTTGTTGTTGTTGTTGTTGTTGTTGTTGTTGTTGACATTATTTATTCTAAAGAATAATTATTGTTGGGACCCTGGTGCGCGACCCCCCTGCGCCGCCTAGGCCGCAGCTACATTTTCATCATTTTCGTGAGGAAGCCTCAGAAAAGTGGATGTGATCCAGATCCGGTTGTTTTGTTGTCCCCCGTTTTCCCTTGCAAAAAACACTATAAAATGAAATTTCTTGTTCAAATATAATCAAATTCAAGAATCCCTTGCAAAAAATAAGGTAAAGTGGACATTCGCGCGCGCAAGACGAAATCCTTCCAAAAGCTTAGTGTTCGGAGCGATTTTAACATAAAAACATCAAAAAACCAATGGTTTTTCAACCAAAAAATTGTCAAAATGTCCTTCCGCGCGCGCTGTACGAATCCTACAAAACCAATGGTTTTTCAACATTTATGTTACATGAGCTCGCGCGAGCTACTTTTTCTTGTTCTAACATAATCAAATTTCAATGATCCCTTGCAAAAAATAAGGTAAAGTGGACATTCGCGCGCGCAAGACGAAATCCTTCCAGAACCTTAGGTTTCGTAGCGATTTCAACATAAAAACATCAAAAAGCCAATGGTTTTTCAAAAAAAAATGTCCAAATTTCATCCCGCGCGCGCTGTCCGACTCCCACAAAACCAATGGTTTTTCAACATTTATGTTACATAAGCTCGCGCGAGCTACTTTTTCTTGTTCTTACATAATCAAATTTCAACATCCCTTGCAAAAAAAAGTAAAGTGGACATTCGCGCGCGCAAGACCAACAAAAAACACGACGATCTCAGGAACTTGCCCCAAAAATGTGACCAACTCCGCTCTCTCTGTCTCTCTCTCTGTCTGCTCTCTGTCTCTCTCTCTGTCTGTCTGTGTCATGTATTGTATGTCACAATTGCAGGATGCTGGGCACACGCGCGCCCCGAATAAGTGACCAAGTTCTGTGGGTGTGTACCCCACGCCAGTGTAGTAGCCACGGTCGTCCGCACGCCACGAAGTGAAGTGTCCCAACGTCATAGGGCGGGAAGCTGGGTTTGGGTGGTCGCGAAGAGTCGTTTGGATATTTGGTAGAGCTTGAACTGCCCCCCCACGAAGTGGGGGTATTGTCTCGCGTCGCATGAAAACCCTGGCACTGGTGAGAACACTGAGCGTTCGGGTAAAATGATTGTTGTTGTTGTTGTTGTTGTTGTTGTTTTTTCGGGCGCGCGCTTGCGCGACCTGGATGCGGAGCAGTTGCGCGAGCCGCACGGGGAAGGTCGAGTAGGATTCTGGTTTGCGCCCCGCCCCACAGATGGAACCGGGGCCGCCGCTCCCGAGGGGAGCGGGGGGGGGAGGAAGGGGAAGAGAAGGGTGGCGATGAGAGGGAGAGGGAAGGAACGGGAAGGGGATGGGGCAAGGGCAGAACAAAAATGGAGAGGACGTCGGATAGGCAAGTCCAGGGTCATGTGTTTCTATTCTCTCGCTCTTTCCCTCTCTCTCTCTCTGTCTCGCTCTCTCTCGCTCTTTCTCTGTATATCCATGCAGGCACATATATGTGTATAGTTGTAAAACACACACACACACACACACACACACACACACACACACACACACACACACACACACACACACACACACATTTATACATATATATATATATATGTATACAAGACTGCATTGGCGCTTCGCGCCATGCACCTTGGTTCTTAAAGCTCGGCATGCAGGATAACCAAATATAGCGATGATTCATTGTTGCCGTTTGCGCCATCGTCGTTATAGTAATGTTATGTATTATCCTTATACTTCCTCTCCTCTTACTCGTAATCTTCCTTGTCTGCGAGCCACTCCTTGTCCTCATCCCCAGTTTTTATTGCAGGGGCTCCTCTTTGGAGGTGTTCTTGGGCCCCTCTCAAAAGCTTTTTGGGGACCTCTGGGGGCCTCCTGGGTGCCTTTTGGGGGCCTCTGGGGGCTTCTTGCGGCCACCTTGCTACCAACCACGGTCTCCCTGAACGACCGGGTCACGATTTGGAGTGCTTCGGGAGGCGTCTTGGGGCCATCTGGGGCTGTCAGCGGGGCTCTCTTGGGGCCATCTTGCGGCCCTGTTGGACCATATTGGAGCTCTTTTGGACTGTCTGGAAGCCCTTTGACACCGTTGTGGGAGGATTTTTGGGGCCTCTTCGGCGGACTCGGACGCACGGAATACCGAAGAACCGAATGTCCAAAAATTCAATAAAAAAACGAAAGGAAAGTGTTGTTTTTTGCACTTGGAGGACCTCTTGGGGGTCTTCTTTGGGTCGTCTTCGGGCGTCTTGGGGCTGTCTGGGGCCGCGTGGGGCTCTCGCGGGGCCGTTTGGCCGCCCTCCTGACCGCTTTGGGCCCGCTGGCAAGGCCCGGCAGGGGCGTCCAGGAGGCCCGGAAGGCCCGGGGGACCCATTGCAAGGCGTCCAGGGGGCCCCAAAAGCGCCAGATCCCGGGGGTCCGATTTTCCGGGGGGGGGGGGGTCCCACCCCCCCGGATTGTAAAAATATAGAAAAGGGAATATATATATATATATATATATATATATATATACACCTATACGACCATCCTTCGGGTGATAAGGATGTTCGGAGGGGGGAGGAACCAACGTCTCACTCGATCGGTCTCACTATCGATCTCACTATCCGTCTCGCTCGATCGATCTCACTCGATCGATCTCACAATCGATCTCACTCGATCTATTTCATTCGATCGATCTCACAATCGATCTCACTATCGATCTCACAATCGATCTCACTATCGATCACACTATCAATCTCACAATCGATCTCACATTCGGTCTCACTATCGATGTCACTATCGATATCACAATCGATCTCACAATCAACGTCATCATCATCATATGTCATCATCATCAACATCAACGCCATCCATGTCATCAACATCATTATCATCAACATCATAATCATCGGGACACCATCATCATAACATCACCATCATCATCATCACCATCATCATCATCGAGACACCATCACCATCACCATCATCATCAATAACATCATCATCGGGACGCCATCATCAGCAGCATCCGAACAACAGTATCATCATCATCATATCATCATCAGCATGGACCACATCAACATCATCATCATCGGGACACCATCATCATCAGCAACATCATCATCAACATCATCATCATCATCATCATCGGGACACCATCATCACCATCATCATCAGCAGCATCACCATCAACCTCATCATGACCATCATCATTGGGACACCATCATCATCACCATCCTCATCATCATCGGGAGGGACACCATCATCAACATCAGCATCATCATCGGGCTACCATCATACAAATCATAATCATCATCGCCTCATCATCATCCTTATCATGAACATCATCATCATCATCGGGACACCATCATCGTCATCATCATCAACATCAACATCAGGACACCATCATCATCATCATGACCATCAACAACATCTTCATTAACCTCATCATCACCATCATCATCGGGACATCATCATCTTCATCATCTTCATCATCATCTCATCATCTCATCATCATCAACATCATCAGGATCATCAACATCATCATCACCATCGGGATGCCATCATCATCAGCAACATCACCATCATCAACATCATCATCACCGGGACACCATCATCATCATCACCATGGCCATCATCATCACCATCATCATCAACATCGTCAAAATCATCATCATCCATCATCATCATCATCAACAACATCATCGACATCATCATCATCATCATCATCATTATCATCATCATCATCATCATCATCATCATCATCATCATCGTCATCATCATCATCGGGACACCGACGGGACACCAGCGGGACACCGGCGGGACACCGCGCGCCACTGGCCTCCGGAAGGGAGACATTTGGTCCGGCCGCGCCTCAACCACAGCGGGACACCGGCGGGACACCGCGCGCCACCGGACGCCGGTGTCACACACGCACGCACGAACACGAAACCCGCACGAAACGCACGAACACGAAACCGAAACCGATTTCCCGGTAGGGGGGCTCTCCGCTCCACTTCGATTTCACCCCCTCACCTCCGATTTACATACATACATACATACATAAATGCATACATGCATACATGCATGCATACATACATACATAGCATAACATACTATAGCATAACATAACATACCATACCATACCATACCATACGTATGTGTGTATATATATATATATATAATAGACCCCCCCAGCCTCCCAGAGGCGGCCTGGAGAGGCCAAGGGAGCCCCAAGACGGGACAAGAGGTCCCCAGAAAGTGCCCACTAGGGTCTAAGAGGCCTCCAAGACAGCCTAAGAGCATTCCAAGACGTCCAAGATGGCCGCTAGACGGCCCAAGAGGCCCCAAGACGGCCCAAGAGGACCCCCACGAGGGCCCCAAATGAGGGACATATCAACAATGTTCCTTGCGTTTTTCTACAGGACGGGCCGCGAAAGGGCGGCGGCGACGGGGCGGCGACGGCGAGCACGGAGCCTTCAGACCGTCACCCAGACACAGCTCTTTTCTAGAAGAGAAGTATGAACCCCTAAGTGCAATCACTGGTTTGGCAAAAAGTGATGGAGGAGGCAGAGGGGGACCGCCAGAAGTGTCCAGCACGCTTCCCACGTTCTAGAAACACGCCCAAATCTATGATTGCATTCGCAGTGCAGTCACGCCCAGACGCTGGGAAGGCTCGACACATCATCCGCACTGAATGCAAGAAGGGCGAGCACGTGGTTACTCTCCAATGCAGCTCATCACATCGGTAAGAGACTGACTCGAAACGCAACTCGCGGACGATACCAAATTGTTTAAAGCGTCTCAGCTATAACGCAGCATCCAGCGCATGCGAGAAAGGAGGACAGTGGAAGCCAGCGCTTTCTTTACTCAGAGAGTTGTGCCGATCACGGCTGGAGCCAACAGTTGTTAGCTACAGTGCTACGATCAGCGCTTGTGAGCAAGGGGAACAGTGGCGGCATGCACTGTGTTTACTCAGAGAGATTTCGCAGGTGAAGTTGGAGCAGACAGACAACAGCTACGGTGCTACAATTTGCGTTTGCGAGAAAAGTGGCCAGTGGCAACATGCACTGTCGCTACTGCGAGAAATGCGGGGAACCAAGCTGGAAGCAGGAACCTTTAGCTACAATGCGGCAATCAGCGCGTGCGGCAAAAGAGGGGAGTGGCAGCGCGCGCTGTTATTGCTCAGAGAATTGCGGCACATGCAAAATGAGTTGTCTATCATTGGGTACAGCTCTGCAATCAGCGCGTACGAGAAAGATGGTGGTTCGCAGTGGCCACAAGCGCTGCTGCTGCTGATCGAATCACGGAAATCAAATCTGCAGCCGAACGCTGTAAGTTACACAGCTGCTATATCTGTATGCGCGCGGGCATGGTAGGAGGCGTCATCGTGGATTGGCAGTGGACGCCTGATGAATTTGATGCCAGGCACGTCTTGCTCTCACAAACAGCCCACGAACGACCGCTGCACAATGTGTAGCGATCGTGGGAATTGATTCCAGGCGGAAGCTCGACATCAACGACTGTCGCTACCGGCCCTTGAGGGAGAGATGGGCGGTGGCATTCGGTGTCCTTATTCGGAGAAGTGCAACGGTTGAGGTGATTCAGGAATCGGTGAAGTGTGCATAGTACAGTGTCAACTACTATCCAGCTGCCTGTGGCAAACCCCAACTCTGCCATCGCAGCGGTACAGCACGGAGGAACGAATTTGAGATTAAGTCCCGCTCCAATTCAGCGTCCTGTCAGCAAGCGCGGGCTGAAGCGCCTCCTCGTCCTCGGCATCGTTCTCCTCCCCCCCTTCCTCCGTCTTGGAGGCATCTTGGAGCCTTTTTGGGATCTTCTTTGGGGCGTATTCGCACCTCTCCGGGCTCCATCGGGCTCCTGTTGGATGTTGGGGTCTCGTCGAGGCTCTCGGGGGCGCTTCGTAATAGTTCTACCCAGCTCTCCCGAAGAGGCTCGCTTGAACCATCTTGGGAACGCTTGTTTGGCCCAGTCTTGGGGCCGTGGAGGGCGACGGATCGGGGGGGGATGAGGAGGAGGAGCAGGAGGAGGAGGAGGAGGAAGAGGAGGAGGAGGAGATCGCGGGTGGCAGGCGGGGCCCAGAGAGAGGGCCCCCCCCCCCAGGGGCTCCGAGGGTACAGAGCAGGCGTGCAGTCGGACCGAGGCGTGAGATCGAGGTCGGGGTTGAGAGGGTACCCCTGATGCCCTTCGTGTTTGCGGGATGCTCTTGTGCACCCTGGGGAGGGTGCCCTTGAGTGTTCCGTGCATTTTGGCCGACGAAGGGTCTCATGTTTTTGAGGGATGTTCTTGTGGCCTAGGTCCGACTGCGCGTGTCATTCTTCACCCCCTCCGTTTATTCCGGTGGCTTACACCAGTCCGCCGACCCCCACAAGGAGCGAGTGTTTGAGACGATCGCGGAGGTTGCATCTTGGGTCAGGAGCCTCCTGGACGAATCCGAGAGTCTCTCAGGGTGCCTCCCTGGGGCCTCCTGGAGAACTCCTGGGGGCCCTCCGTCTCTTGCCCCCCCGCCGCCCCCCCAGTTCGCAGCGCCAGAGGGAGGGTGGTCACGAGGCGGCCGCCGCGCGGGTCCGAGCCTCGGGGGCCCTGCTAGACCGCCGGCACCCGTCTTGGCACCCCACCATCGCGCAAGAGCGGCGGCGGATGCCCCGCATCAAGTTCACGGAGTGCCGTGTTCCAGCAGCTTGCAGGCGCAGGGTCGTGCAGTTGAGCATATTGCGCCAGCGCGCAGCGTGTTGTTTTATGTTTCAGGGCTGCTTGCCAGCTGGCCAGTGGGGAGTAAGTGCCTCATGCGGTGGTGCATTTGGGATTGGCCATCGTAGTGTTGTGCACGGACATGTCTCATGCCCTTCTCAAGTATTGCGGCCCTGCTTGGGGCACCAGGGACTCGCGAAATTGACAGCCGTATTTTCTGTTTGGTCAAGGAGTGTACAGCTGAGGGTAGTTCGGTTCGCCCACCTCGCCCTGCTTGGCCCCGTGGTCCTACGCCTCATGCTCATCCCCTTCCTCGTCTCCTTTCCTGCGTGATCCTGTTATCCTTCTCGATCTCTGCCTACATATCCGTACCCTTTGTCCTTATTGTCGTATGTGTCCTTCTCAGCATTGCCCTCTTCATCCTTGCCATCCCCTAATCAGCGAGCGAAGAACGGTATAAATTATCCTGGCGAAGGACCCAACCATATGCAGTTGTGAATGCCGCAATTGTGAATGCCATCTTCGCATGCGCTCCCTATGTGGCCACGGCTTCCCGCCAGAGCCCGACATGCTCAGGGACACGTTCGTGGCCGTTTTCGCGGGCGCCGACGACGACAAGGACGGCGTCCCTCTCACCGAGGAGCAGAAGCAGCAGAAGGCCTTGAGAGCCATGAGGGAGGAGGTGGCGTTGCACGTCGACAAGGCGGAGTACGACGCCCATGCGCGGTTGTTGAAGCAGCGCAACTATGGGGCCACGATCCTCGTGAGGGATGTGCCGCAATGGCCCGGGGCCGCCATGCGAACCCTGCCACTGGCGCCTTCGGTTGAGCTCCAGTGGGGCCACGGTCCTCGTGAGGGGTGTGCCGAAATGGCCCGAGGCCGCCATGCGAACCCTGCCGCTGGGGCCTTCGGTGGAGCTCCCCATGGGGCCACGATCCTCGTGAGGGGTGCGCCGAAATGGCCCGAGGCCGCCATGCGAACCCTGCCACTGGCGCCTTCGGTGGAGCTCCCTATGGTGCCACGATCCTCGTGAGGGGTGTGCCGAAATGGCCCGAGGCCGCCATGCGAACCCTGCCACTGGCGCCTTCGGTGGAGCTCCCTATGGGGCCACGAGCCTCGTGAGGGGTGTGCCGAAATGGCCTGAGGCCGCCATGCGAACCCTGCCACTGGGGGCCTTCGGTGGAGCTCCCTACGGGGCCACGATCTTCGAGAGGGGTGTGCCGAAATGGCCCGAGGCCGCCATGCGAACCCTGCCATTGGGGGCCTTCGGTGGAGCTCCCTATGGGGCCACGATCCTCGTGAGGGGTGTGCCGGAATTGCCCGAGGCCGCTGGAGATCCCCATGGGGCCACGATCCTCGTGAGGACTGTGCCGACATGGCCCGAGGCCGCCATGCGAACCCTGCCTCTGGGGCCTTCGGCGGAGTTCCCTATGGGGCCACGATCGTCGCGAGGGGTGTGCCGAAATGGCCCGAGGCCGCCATGCGAACCCTGCCACTGGAGCCTTCGGTGGAGCTCCTTACGGGGCCACGATCCTCGTGAGGGGTGTGCCGAAATGGCCCGAGGCCGCCATGCGAACCCTGCCACTGGAGCCTTCGGTGGAGCTCCTTATGGGGCCACGATCTTCGTGAGGGGTGTGCCGAAATGGCCCGAGGCCGCCATGCGAACCCTGCCACTGGAGCCTTCGGTGGAGATCCCTATGGGGCCACGAAGCGGTGGGTGAAACGCAGGGATGAGGGGGAGGAGGAGGAGAGGAGGAGAGGAGACGCGGGCCACCGTCTCTTCAAAACGAGGACCCAACACCACAGGATGGTTGGGAAATATTTTTTTCGCTGTCGGGGGCGCCTGTCCCTGGGCGGCTGGAAAGTTTATACCCCTACGGTGCCACCGTAAGGGATAAACTTTCCAGCCGCCCTGGGACAGGCGCCCCCGACAGCGAAAAAAAATATTGTATACCGTTTTTCGCCCGTTAACCTATCGTCCTCCTATTCCTCCTCGTCCTTCCCCTCCATCCCGCACGGAGGCCCTTGCCTCCCTCCGGGAGGGCTCTCGTCGACCCGTGGGCTGCCATGCCGTTTTCGCGGCCCTGGCGTGGTCGTCGCGCAGTTGCCGCGCATCCTAGGTTGTCGCTTTCGATTATGTTCTCGATGAGCCTCGCTCCCCCCATCCATCCATCCACCCCATCCACATCCCCCCCTCCCTCCCCCCCCCCCCCTCCCTCCCCCCCCCTCCCCCTCCTTCCCTCCCTCCCCCCCCCCTTCCCTGCCCCCCCCTCCCTCCCCCCCCCCTCCCTCCCCCCCCTCCCTCCCTCCCGCCCCCCTCCCCTCCATCCCCCCCCCAGGGGGCATCCATGGGAAGCTCCGTAGCCACCTCGAGCCACCTCGGCACTGTGTCGATCTTTGCCTGAGACAGTGTTGGCGGCCCAATTCGGCAGTGTGGTGCGTCGTGCTGGAGGCCATCTTCGGCCACCTGGGCAGTGTTGGAGTTGGATTGGGGCGTGTCGAACGCTGTACCCCCTCGCGGCCCGCGGTTTAATTGGTACAGACCCTTTGGAATGGGTAGTGGGAGGAGTACCTACCCCCCTCCCGAAGGGGAGTAACATGCGCTGCTAGAACTGTGCTCTAACCACCTGGGCCCGCTGGACGTGTGGGACTTCCCCCGTATTCGTCACCGTGCTTTGTTCTAGCAATGCAGGCATTGCTGACATACACGCTTCGACATCACACGACGAATTGGCATCTGCACCAACATTGTGTATGTTGGCGTGGCCACGCGTCCAAACTGATGTTCGGTTTAGAGGCGGTGGTGGTGGTGGTTGGGCATCTGGATACTTAACCAAGCGATGCGGGGCACGATGTGAGGAGTGTGAACAAACGCACGCTTGCCTTCGAACGTCGAGCCCGTGAACCTGATGCCAGCAGCCGTTTGCGTCGAGCGATCCCCACCCGAGAACGCGAGGCGGAATACGCAGGGAGCATCCTCCTCCTCCTCCTCCTCCTCCTCCTCCTCCTCCTCCTCCTCCTCCTCCTCCTCCTCCACTGGGACTCTCGAGGCCCGGCGGCCGCGGTGGGCAGGCGTCGCTCGTCGAAGACGCGAGGCCGGATATCTCCAGGGAGCACCGGGGCCTCAAGGGCCTTGGCGGCCGCAGAGCCCCTGTGTTTTAGACCGAGGCGAGTCGGGAGCCCCTGTTCGTTAAGCCGATCCACCCCCGAGTGATCAATAAACTTGTTCTTAAAACCGATCAACCCCGAGTGTTTGGGTGGGGAACGAGCGTCTCTCCAAGGGCTCCCACGAGGGCGCGAAGTGATTCGCGCTTCACGGTCCTCGCAGGCCTCGTGCCTTCTCCCCCTCCTCCTCGGCCTCCTTTTCTCCCTTTGGAGGCGGCGCGAGAGCGCGAAGTTATTCGCGCTTCGCGGAGCGCGAAGCGCGAAGTTGGGAGCCCTAGATCTCATGGACAATTTGCCATGCTGTGCGTCGCAAAATCAGGCCCACCCACCCACCCCACCCCACCCCGTCCCGTCGCTGGAGTGTGCACCTTTCCCCGCTCGGGGATCCGATGGAGCGCACTCCCAGGAGATATGCAGACGGAGCAGGAGACATAAACGGGCATTGCATGAAGCACTGAGGTTGTTCCAGGATTTTGGGGGAGCGTTCCATAGAAATGGTTTCGGGGTCGGATTCATAAACGGGCTGGGCGTTCCCTAGACGATGTCTTGGGGGGGTATGACGCGTCGTGGGATGATACATGCCGAGTGGAACTCTGCGCACGACACGTCTGATGTGCGTGGACTCGGAGACCGAACGAGATGTGTACGCAGTGTAGAGAAAGAGTTCACGACGAGGAGGATGAGAAGGAGGAGGAGGAGGAGGAGTAGAGCCCACGACAGGAGGAGGAGGAGGAGGAGGAGGAGGAGGAGGAGGAGAGGGAGGAGGTGGAAGAGGAGGACGAGGAGAGCCCACGACAGGAGGAGGAGGAGGATTACCAAGCGCGCTGTAGGCTTAAAGGGTACCAGAACCCATCTTTAAGGATTGCGGCGGCCATCAACGAAATATTGCAGACTTGTGCGACTGTGAGAAATACATGATATGTTCGTTGGCCGACCGCACGCCACATCCTCAAAGTCGGAGGTATGGCAGAAAGCTATCGGCCACCTGCTGACACCAGGGGGTCCATGTACCCGTTTGTCTTGCGAGCGATTGTGAAGGACGTGTTCCACTCCATTTATAGCTTTCGGCCGTACCTCGGGATAGTATGCCAAATCCTTCGACGGGGATTTGGGAAGTCACCCCGCTCTGATCGAGCTGTTTGGGGCTCCACTGTCGAGGAGTATCCCCTCGGGCGCGTCACCGAAATTCGTGACACTTTCGTTGCGTCGCGAACTTGGGTGCGATCTGGTCCATCGCCCCGTTGAGTGGCAACCTCGGATTTGGGCTCCGCCGGCCTATCCGCTGTGGGAACGTGTCTGCCCGTCTGCTTATCCCCCCGGCAGTGGGAGCAAGAAGCCCTCTGCGCACGCAGAACGGCCAACCGCATCACGAAGGTCAGACCCATCACCTCGTGGAGAGTCGGGCCAGACGAAAGGGGGGGATTGGGAAAGGGGGGGTTACGAAATGTGCTGCATGCAGCTGGTTTCGGCCTCACCGAGGGGCCCATTCCTCGATACATAGCCGCCTCCGGCGCTGGGAGGCGCTGGGAAAATCAGCTACGTGAGCTGATTCTCAAACCCCCCCTTTTGCTATCCCCCCCTTTCGCCCGACCCGAGAGAGGCACACCTCGGATGCTCCCTGACTCTGGCGGCAGCTGCCCGCCCTCGCCCTCGGCCCTGCCAGCGCCACCTGCTGCACGGAAAAGCACGGGCAGAGCGAGGGAGGGAGGAAGCTTGCGCCAGTCTTGCCGAGCGCGCGCGCCACCGGGAACGGGACACCGCGCGTGCGGTGGCGCGTGCGTGCTCGTGGCCGGCTCCCTGGGTGACAGGAGGAGGAGGAGGAGGAGGAGGAGGAGGAGGAGGAGGAGGAGGAGAAGGGGTCACGTGGGCCTTCTCTCCCTGCAGCTCTAACTCCCGGCGATGCTCTCGGGATTGGGCGGAGGAGGCGGCTGGGAGAGCTGGCGGCGGCAGAGGAGTCGGACGTTATCGTGGGCACGCGCTGCCTGGTCTTACCCCCGGCTTCCTTGACCCTATTGTGCGGGCCACCCCCTTTAGGCTCAAGTGGCGCGAGGGGGGGACGATTTGTTAACACCTCGGCTTACCCAAAACATTCTCGACTCTTACTTCCTACTTTTTGTGGTGTTGCGTCTGTCCCGGCTGCGTGGCCGATAGCATTGGGGGGACGAGGTGTCGATGCGCACGGTTGGATTGTTGTTGTTTGGGGGAGGTACCCCAGATCAGAGGCACAACAAATCGCAACCCCTGCGGCCGAGCGCAAAAGTGCACAGTCCGCTATGGGGCCGGGCGGGATCTCCCATCGGCCGCGATTCGACGGTGCTTTCCAGGGGGCACCCCATCGCGCCCTTGCGTCGGCTGCGCCTCGCCGAGAGCATTCCTCAGGAGGAGAAAAAACACACAGACACAATGAATCGTCGATTCCCCCAAAAATATTGGAAAATATGGGAAGTGGGGGGGAAGACGAAAACCCAGAAAATAAGGGAAAATATGGGGACTCCTGTTATCTGTGCGTATTTCTTTGTGTGTCCCAGGGCCTCTTCCATTCCGGAGTCCCCGGGGCGCACAGAGGTGCCACCCTGGGCTGTGGCGTCTCTCCCTGGGCGAGGATCGCTGAGGAGCACCCTGGACCCTCTTCGAAGCGCGCGAGATCGAAACAAGGGCTCCCCCGAGGGCGCGAAGTTATTCGCGCTTCGCGGTCCTCGTTCCTTCTCCCCCTCCTCCTCGTCCTCCTATTCTCCCTTTGGGAGGGCGGCGCGAGAGCGCGAAGTTATTCGCACTTCGCGCTTCGCGCAGCGCGAAGCGCGAAGTTGGGAGCCCTTGTCGAAAGATGCACGGGAAATGGACGTCCGAGCGACGGCAAGGGGCGTCGCGCGCGACATGGTGCTCCAGAGAGGCCAGCCGGCCTGGCCGCGGGTGCTGGCCCCAGGGCTGCGCCCCCCTCGGAGCGCGGGGTCATCGGTCTTTGATGGTGGTATTACGTCGGGCCCGTCCCTCTACAGGAGGAATGTTCAGAAATAGTCGAAAAAAATCTGACGGGGGCTATGTTTGGAGTATTTTTTGGCAATGTTGGGGTATCTTTTTGGCTGTTGTTTATTTCTCGTCGGAAATCCCTCTGTAGGGGACACGCCCGACCTAATTGTATTGGCCTCTGGCCAGTGCCGCCGATCTGGGGGCGCTCTTGGTGCGACCGGTCGATTGAAAGAGCAGGCAGCATGGCGTGGGGATGCTGGAAAACGGATGAAGCGCTGGAGAGGGAAAGGCAGTTGTGAGAGGGGAGCGCGGGGTCATCGATCTTCGATTTGTCCCCCGCGTCTTGGAGCCCGACACTATTCGCGCGTGCTCAGCCCCATCAGCGCACATCACTGTCACGAGTGCAAAGCTCACGGCAGCAGCTAATCACGCAAGTATTCACCCGCCAACTTTGCTGTATAATTGTTGTTGTTGTTTTTAGAGGTCGAGTGGGCAACCGTTCGAGAGCCGAAGCGGGACATTGCAGTAGATAGTCCGGATGTAGGGGGTGGCGTCCTCCAGAGCGGGGCCAGGTGATGCGATCGTCCCTCTCCGCCGGACCTCCCCGGATCCAGCTGCGCGTTTTTATTCGTGCACCCTCCGCCGACATCACCGTCCACCCGTTTGCGTCTCCCTCTATCCCCTCCCCTCCCCCGTCGTCCTGCCCCCCCCCCCCGCTCCTCTCCCTCCTGCTTCCCTCCCCCTTCTGCTGCCTCCTCCTCTCCCACCGTGTCTGCACTGTGGCAGCTCGTGCCGTGCGCCGAGGAGCCGCGGCCTGCAGCTGGAGTCGGGTGCGACCCGAGTGTTGACGCTCTGCGTCTCCGCACCAGCCCATCCAGACGCGATGCCCAGGGGAGCCGCGGCCTGCAGCTAGAGTCGGGTGCGACCCGATTGTTGACGCTCTGCGTCTCCGCACCAGACTTCGCTGTCTTGCGTCTCAATGAGGGGCATTTTGTCCCTGGCATGTGCATAATTACGCCACTGCGGCCAATTTTCATCGTACCGCGCCCCGGACGTTGTGCCCGCTCCCTGTCCCTCGCCTTGGAGCCGCGAACCAAAAAAGTCTCCGCACCAGCCCGTCCAGAAGCGATGCCCAGGGGAGCTGCACCGATCAACGCGGGGTTGGAGCGCGCAGTGGAATCTGTATCTGTGGGAGCAGCCGTCTGGCCGAGGGTAGGGATCAGCCCGAGCAGGCCCAGGAGTCGACCACAAATCAGGAGGGGGAAAAACACACAGACACAATTAATCGTCGATTCCCAAGAAAATATAGGAAAATATGGGAATTGGGGGGGAAGACAAAAACCCAGAAAATCTGGGAAAATATAGGGGGATCTTTTTATTTGTGTGTACTTCTTTGTGTGTCCCAGTTCCCCTTCATAAATGCCCTCGCGAGTCTTCCGATATGGGAGCCTATCGGTATGATGCGTATCTGAGATCCCTTTCGGGGCCACTTTACAGGCCTTATGGGCTCTCTCTGGGACCTCTCGGGGCTCTCCTGGAAACCTCTCGGGGTCTCCCGTGGGATCTCTCCCGGGGCCATATGGGCTGGCTGCGGCTTCAGGCGACGAGGTTACGAAAGCAACGTCCTTGCATCTTCTGGATCATTTCGGCATGGCCGTTCCGTCTCCCTCGTCGTGTTATCGCAGCTCGTTGTGCGGCCGCAGCGGACTTGCAGAGAGGGCAGACGCGTTCTGTGATGTTTCCCTCGTGTTGGCTGTCCCGTCGCTTGTTAGGTTCCCAGGACGGAGTCTGCTTTCTTCGGACAAGCTAGGTAGTCGAAGGCCAGACTGTCAGATTGAATTGGGCCCCAAGGGCCAATCTGGCCTGGCCAAACTGGATGATTTGGGCTATTCGCCAGACTGGATTCGCGTTGGCTCCCTCGCCAGATTGCCCCCGTTTGCCAGATTGGGCCTGCCAGATTGGCGCCAGATTGGCTTCGACTACCCAGAAAAGCCGAGATCGTTGTCCGTGAGGTTGGCTGGATGACCGAGTGGACTGGACGGGTCGCACCCAATAGCAGGCCGCTGTAAGTTCCGACGGCCGAGGGCGTAATGCATGATGCAAGCACAAGCAGCTTGGGGCCCGCCTGGGGCTTCCTTGGACCCTCTTAGGATCTATTGGTGATGCTTTTTGGCCCCTCGTGAGGCAGGTTGGGACTCACATGGCCTTCTCTTGGAGCACTGGTGGACCGCCATTTCGCCGTTTTGGGGCATCTTGGTGCCACCGTACTATCTCTAAGTCCCATCTGTGTCCGAGGACAAGAGGTCCGACATGAATCCACATAATGTCGGTTGTTTCTCAAGCCAGGTGGGCGTCTTGAAGTTGGCTAACACTATCTCTGCTCGACCGGCCCTGTACAGCCATGTCCGGCGCAGAAGTGACGGGCGTGTCGGCCTTTTACACGTTCCCGCCGGCGCCCGCGGCTCTCATCGTTGACGTTTTCCTTCGGGAGAAGGGGTTCAGCGAGGCCGCGATCAAGTCGGTGGAGAAGTACGTAGACCTACCCGCACTGGAGAACCGAGGTCCGCCCTGTAAGAAGATGAATCCCCAGGGCAGCATTCCGTGGTTCGTGACCTCCGATGGATCCGTGGTGGCTGAGACTATCGCAATGTGCGAATATATTGAAGATGTCCAGCCCAAGCCGGCCCTCATCGGCTCCTCCGCCGTTGAGCGTGGGGTGACTAGAATGTGGCAACGACGCATGGAGGAAAATTTCTGCTCTCCGGCGACTTATGCGCACAGGAACTACTGCCACAGCGAAGATTGCCCCAGCGATCATGGCATGAAAGATTTCTACACAAAGCGCTTCAACGCTGAGCAAGGGTCGAATCTGCTTTACTCGCACCCAGGGGCATGGAAAGATTTGGCTGCCTGGGCGCTTCACAGGCTCGCCTGGTTGGAGAAGGTGAAGCAGGATGAGGCCCAGTCGCGAATCGGATCGACGCCTTCCGACTTCATATGTGGTGATTCCTTGACCGTGGTTGATGTCCAGGTGTATGTAAACGTGTTCTATTGGGACACGTTCGTCCCCGGACAGCACTTTTTCAAGAACCTGGAGGGGCAGATACCGTGGGTCGAGGCTTGGTATTCGCGAATGCATTCCCGTCCTGCGTTTGCCGCTGCGAGGGCGAGTGCGGGGTACAAGGATTTCTCAGACAAGTCGGACATGGAGCCAGCCACAAAGATGCCGAAGACCGACGGCTAGCGCACGGCGTCCTTCACGGCGGTCTCGTGGAGCTGCACGCGGCGCGTGCTCTGACCAAGCCGGCATTGTGTCCGATAGGCTGAATTTGCTCAAGCTCGTCGCCTTCCAGATTTTCTACGACTTTGACCCGCCGACGCCGGTCATGCTTCTGTAGTTGGGCTTTCGTCCACAGGCTTACCCAGACTGGTGCTGGGCGGCACCACGATGATCAGCGTCCAGGGGCCGCCATTCCGCGGCCAGTTTTCATGCACCACTTTTTTTGCGTCTAGGACGCCAGAAAGGGCTCCCCGTGGGACACAATTTGACTCGACGGTCATGGCCTGATTGCGTGAGCTTCGGGTGACCAAAAATGAGCATACGTAGCAGTGTATCTCTATTGCAAAGGCCTTACGGCCAGTACCGCCAACCCTGTGTGCCAGACGGAACGAACGAACGAACGACCGCCTGTGCGGACAGCAGTCCGGGCCTACTGGAGACCGGGTGAACGAGGCCGTGGCCTCCGAAATGCAATTGCGTATGGAAGTGCGTGCATGCGAGACATGAAAAGTTATGTGAAACGGAAGGGGAGGGGAGGAGGGGGAGGAATCCTTGTAGTCGATGTCGCGGTGTGTTGGTGCCACGTCGTTGGGTGGAGTCTATGTTGGTCGTCTGTGCTGGGTTTGGTGTTGATGTTGGCGCAAGACGCCGGTAGTCGGTGAGGCGGTGCTTGGTTGTTGGTCGTCGGTGCTTGTGGTCGCGTGGTCGGCCGTCAGTGCTGCATGTTACAATTCGTAATATCATGCAGCGGCGAAGGCTCTCTCGAGTGACTTCCACCATGTCGTCCGTGTCGCAGCTGTAAGCCACCTCACATCGTTGGTGTCGCGGTGGAGGTATCCTCGCGGTTGGGTGGCGTCGTTAGCGTCGCGTTGTGTGTTATCTTCGCCTGCCTGTCGATGCACGATGTGTAGAAACTTCCGCACATCGTCGTCCCATCGCTTGTGCTGGCCACCGTGTTGTCGATAACCCTGTTGCTTTGTGTCCGTGTTGGGGTTCCAGTTCAGAATTCTGGGGGCAGAGGCTACACGCATGCAAATCTTCGAGAGACAGCCGCTACACGTACCTAAACATTAGAGACACAAGCGCCACACGCCTTTAGGCATCAGAGACACAAGCGCTACACGCACTGAAATGAGCAAGCGCTACATGCGCTTCAACCTGAGAGGCACAAGCGCTACACGCACTTGATTCTTAGAGAGACAACGCTACACGCACTCCGACCTTAGAAACAAAAGATCTACACGTCTAGACACAAAGACTGCACGCAACTCAACCTTAGAGACACAAGCGCTACACGCACTTCAACCTTAGAGATACAAGTGCTAAACGCACTTAAACTTTCGAGTTGGGAGAGAGAGGGTGAGAGAGAGAGACGCTACACGCACTTCAACCTTAGAGACGCAAGCGCTACACGCGGGAATAAGCGCTACATGCATTTCACGCACTTTAACCTTAGAGACACAAGCGCTACTGAATTTAAACCTGGAAGGAACCAACGTACACGCGCTTAAGCCTTACAGACACAAGCGCTACATGCGCTAAACATTGGAGCCTCCTGCTCCTCCTCCTCCTCCTCCTCCTCCTCCTCCTCCTCCTCCTCCTCCTCCTCCTCCGTCTCGTCCTCCCTGCCCCCCCTCCTCGATTTTGTCGTCCTCCTCCCTCTCATGCCGTTCTCCTCGTCTTCATCCTCCTCGGCCTTATGTTTGTCTTTCGCCTCCGCCGTGCTTCACGGACGCGGTGCGGCTCTGCGTCTTGCGGTTTGGCCGGCGGGGGGTCTCATGCTGTTGGGGGATGTTCTTCTTAGGGGGCCACATGCGAATTTTACCCCACGATTTCTGAGGGGGAGGGTGGGGTTCACTTCGCTCGGGAGCTCCCGAACGAAGTGAACCCCACCTTCCCCCTCAGAAATCGTGGGGGGTGGGGGTGGGGTTCGCATGTGGCCCCCTACTTCTGTCCTTGTTCCGATTGTGCGCGAACACTGGCACATTCGTCCAGGCTGGCGGCGTTCGCCGAGGCTGGCGGCGGATGTTGGCGGCCCACGGGCGACGTCGTTGTCGTGAGGGCAGGAGGGTCGCCGTCGCAGAGGCAAGACTGCGCCGTGGTCAAAAGGGGAGCACGCGTCGTCGTCGAGGCTGACGCTCGGTTTCGTTCCATGGCCGTAGTGATTCTCAACGGCGCTCGAGAATTTTGAAATTTATCGGCACGGTCTCTGAAATCGTTCGGGGCGGTCTTTCAAACATCTCGCGGAACCTCTAACCCTATGTCCGGCAGTCTTGGGAACGACGGTTCGGAGTTTCTGAAATGCTGCGTGGCAGTCTCCGAAACGACGGTCCGCAGTCTCTGAAATGGTTTGTGCAGTCTCTGAGGCGCCTGTTCTGTCTTTGAATCGGCTTTCGCCCACGTGAACTAGTCATTGTGTCGGCACGCCGCCGCTCCCGCGAAGCCGAGAGAACAGGCGCCTCGTTTCGCTCCGGCGTACGGCACCACTGACTGAAACGAAACGTGAACAACGGCGGCCGTATGAGTGCATGGTTGTTTCGACCAAACAGCGCTTGCACGTATAAGTCAGAACGTCGCTTGCACGCGGAGGCCAGGCATTGATCGATGTTTGGTGGCGGCGGCCGACCACAGTAGCGGCCGCAACAGGAACCCAGTATTGCCAAACGTCTGGAGACACCTGGGGATCTCCAGAGGATTCAGGAGATCTCCTGAGGCCGTCGGATATAGCCGCAGTGCGGTTTCAGGAGGTATTCTGAAATTCTCGTGGAGTTGGCAGCGGCGGCCGACGACACTCACGACCACGATGGCAGCAAAACGAACCACGCGCCCCCGAAAGGTCCAGAGACCTCCAGGGGTCTCCAGAAGCCTCCAGAGATCGCCGCGGAAAGGCGTCCAGAGGCTTCCGCGGCGCCCTCGAAAAATCCTGGACCTTTCCAGGGATCCCCGGAAGCTTCCGGAAATCGCCACGTAAAGACTTCCGAAGGATTGCTGGTCCTGTGCGGTGCCACAGCTACGCCAACGAAACAAGTATGAATCGACCCTCGGCAGCGGCGGCCCACGACATCGACGACCCAGGGTGGCTGGTTGGCTGAGCACTCCTTCGTTCTATAGCTGGTGTTCTCCCTTTATATCTCTTGTCCTCCCCTTGGCCGCCTTTATGCCGTATGCCAGATTTCGGGCCCCCTTCCCCCTGGTCTTCCGTAGTGCCATTTCGGATCAACATATATAGCCAAGCAAGGGCTGTTAGTGAGTAGTTACATCCGCCACTTCAGAGCTTTGTGGAGCTATGGTGAAGGGCGCTGCGCCGAAGACCGTCGGCAAAAAGCGCCCTGCTCTTCCTCCTGTCTTCCTCCTCCTGCGTCCTCTGGCGGTGGCGCCGCCGTCGGACACGCGGGCGCGGGCCCTGACGGAGCCACACCCTTCGAGGGTTTGGACCGGCGGGGAACGGGCGCCTCTCCCCGGACAACCAGATTTGCAGCACGGTGGTCAAAGAGCGCGGGCAGGACCAACGCTTATGTCAGGCGTGTCCCCCTGCAGGGGGATTTTCGGCGAAAAATAAACGATACACCAAAAATATCCCAAATTGGCCCAAAAAAAAAAAGTTCACATACTATTTTTGGACTATTGTTTTTTTTAGTATTTTTAATCTGTCGTCGAAAACCCCCCTGTAGGGGGACACGCACGACTTAAACCAACGCCGCAGCCGCAACCACGTGGTGGCGGTCTTTGGGTCGGACGGTGGGGCGGGGGAGTGGGCGGAGGGAGAGGGCGCGGGAGAGGCCGAGAGAGGTCACGCGGAGAGTGGTCGAGGAGACGGAGTGCTCGGCGCCGCAGGTGATTGGTGTCGTGCCGGTGCGGGCCCCCGCCGCAAGAATTGGAGATTTTGTTGCAGCTAGGAAAATGTTCCCGGAGGCTCTGGATTTGCGGGCTCCCCAACACGTGCCCCCGCATATCACCACCCACCAAACCACCCCAACCCAACCCGGAGGCTTCAAATTGACCTCCATTTCCAGTGGGGGGGGGGGTCGGGGAACGTCGAAAAAACACATATGGAACCCGAACCCCGCCCAACCCGAAATTCGGGTCTTCGGGTTGGGTTGGGGCGGCCTGGTAGGTAGTCAGCATACGGCGCAAGGCGGCACAATAGAGTCTGAGATTGGATGGAACAAATGTTGTGCACGCCACGCTTGGGCCGCCAACGCGAACCGTAAAATCGTAGCGCGCGGTCGTGTCCGCAAGAACCGAAGACGCATTTGTTGCGGTGCATGGTACAAGCGTAGACGAAGCAAATCCAGACCAACGTTTTTTGGTCGATCCCCATCCCAATATGTAATCGCATGCATGTGGATCGCCGAAGTGTCCATCATCATAACGCTTTTGAGTGTCGTTACGCTGTATTTCTACATGAACGTGCCTTCCCTCGCTTGGCTCCTCCTATGGATCGGACACAACCGCGCCTTCCATCATAAGATAAGCTCATAAGCTCTGGGAGCGACGCTAAGGTCTGGGGAACCCGATAATAAAACGTTGCAGCAAGTAGTTGGGAATATTGCACGCCTTCTCGTCACAACCATGTTCGCCCAAACAATATGGGAAGCGCTCCAGGGGCCTCTGCCAGAACCATGGGGACTTTCATGGGAACGGGAGCCTCTCGAAACATGCATCTGAAAATATTTATTTTCGTTGCAATCCCATGCAGTCCCATATCACGCCAGAACCGGAATCGGATATGGAATCGGGAACGGGCGCCAGAAATAGATTTAACAAGGGATCGCGATCCGGAGTCGGAGTGCTTATGGCCGGGATCGGACTTGGAGTCGGAAAGGACAGCATTGGCATGATCAATCCGGGAGGCACCCCCAGCACTTGTTTTTGTCCCCACATAAGCATTGCGTGTAAACCGCGGCGCAGCGACTGCGGGGTGAGACAGCAGGCCAGCAAATAAAGCAAAGAAGGATGAGGAGGAGGAGAAGGAGGAGGCGAGCTCATAGGACATGAAGGTCGGCGAGCCCCAGCACTGGCTCCAAGGAGGTGGTGGGGAAGATCGCCCCAATCGTGCAGGACAACACGGGTTATTGAACGTTGAAGGGCAATCCTTAGCACACCCCACCATCTGCGTAAAAGCTTCAAAAATCAATGCCTCGCCGTATTCTCGGCGGGAGAACCCGGCAGCGTTCCCGGGACTAGCTAGACATTCTGTTCCCCCCCTCTCCTGTACACCCCGCGCCGCAACCCAAGCAATACAGCGCACCAAGTCCAGTTGTGATCACCTCTAGGTACGTCGTGTTGTTGTTGTTGTTGCTGCTGTTGCTGTTGTTGTTGTTGTTAATATTCCGATTGTTCCATTGCTCTCGTGATGGCGAAGGGAAGCGGACTTTGTA